GTATATATATATATATATATATATATAGGGCTGCAGAATTTGGTCAAAAAGAACAAGCGACCCCACTCTGATGCATTTGGAAACTAAAACCACCTTCAGTGATAAGAATCATAAAGTTGTTTTTATATTATTTCTATTGTAATAATACAATTGCACTTGAATATTAAATTATATCTGATAATTATAATTATTTTATTTTACACTAAAAGATACAATACTAATATATCCTAAATTCTTACCTTTCAAACGTTAAACCTCCAAGATTTTACTTTAGAAAACAATTGCATGGACCTTTAAGTCTGTGTTTAGTTTACAAATTCCCAAAATGCTTAAAACCTGTCCACAAAAATGTTGAAAATTATCCAAATGTGAAAATAAAGTGGTCCTGATGCATGCCGAGTTCCAAAATGCATGCTATTGATGTTACTAACATGCAGCGATGGAGTTTGTATGGAGCAGCATTTACTGCAAACCACCACACCACACTGTAAATGAACACAGTGCTGCACTTAACTCAAACACGCAGCACATCAGACTAAATCACAGCCTTTCGCAATTTGATAATCACACTTGCCATATGGCAATTTCAGTTTTATTTTGACGGCAGCCCTGTTTTATTTAATTTAAATTATGATTCATTATTTTTTAATGAACTCACGAAGCCCCCCTTTGAGAAACTCTGATATAGATCAATAGCTGTGTTGTGAAAGAAAAGCTATACATTTTGGTTTTTGTGTTCTTTCATCCAGCTGCTGATAAGCTGATCAAAATATGGGGTGCATATGATGGCAAGTTTGAAAAGACGATATCTGGACACAAACTGGTGAGTTCCTGAAAAGATCCATCATTTCAGAGTAGCGCTGCTTTTACTTTACGAGGTGTCTAATGTGACCTGGTTTTCAATCACCTGCAGGGCATCTCGGATGTGGCCTGGTCCTCTGACTCAAACCTCCTGGTCTCAGCTTCCGATGACAAGACACTGAAAATTTGGGATGTGAGCTCTGTAAGTCAACAGCACAAGCCAAAGCTTAACTTATGAATATCAAATTTATATAAAATATTACAGCACAATTTATGATATTCAGGGATTTTTCTTATTCTGTTTCTTTATATCACCAGGGGAAGTGTTTAAAGACACTGAAGGGTCACAGCAACTATGTATTTTGCTGTAACTTCAACCCTCAGTCCAACCTCATCGTATCTGGATCTGTAAGTCCATTCACAATCATTTGTCATTTCACCGTCTTGCTAATTCAGGCAAACAAACATGCTAATTATTATCTCTGGCAGTTTGACGAGAGTGTGAGGATTTGGGATGTTAAAACAGGAAAATGTCTCAAGACGCTGCCAGCGCACTCAGACCCTGTCTCTGCAGTGAGTGCTTTTATAATTGACCTATGAAGATCAAATAATCCCATTCACAACTGTGTACAGTGGTGGGTGATATATTTTAAATGATCTTTTCCTTTTTGAATTGTAAATGTTTATTTGTTGCTTTGTTTTAGGTTCATTTCAACAGAGATGGCTCATTGATTGTTTCCAGCAGTTATGATGGACTTTGGTGAGTGGACTTTGGCTTTGAGAATGTTGTTGATTTTTTTTTTTTTTTTTTGGAAAGAGTGTATAAATATGTCAGGGATGTATAACTAACAACCATACATGCTTATATGTGACTTTTAAACAGCCGTATATGGGACACGGCATCAGGGCAGTGCCTTAAAACACTGATTGGTAAGTTGACCAGTCTTACACAAAAGTACTTGTTCAGACCAGTTTCAAAAGCAGCCGTTTGTACCTCTAAAGTGTTTATGAAACTTGTTCTTATCAAACATGCATAACATTTATCCAAGAAATACTAGTAAAACAACAAAACATATGACATCTTAAATAGGAATAAAGAGATTTAAAGAATAAAGAGGGATTAAAATGTATACATGTGCAAATTTTTTATTAGATGATGACAACCCACCTGTGTCATTTGTGAAGTTCTCCCCCAATGGCAAATACATCCTGGCTGCCACTCTGGATAAGTGAGTCAGAGCCTATTCTAAACCTTTTACGCTGCTCATTCTTTAAAAAAATAAATAAATAAAACATAGTAATGAAATAATTTCTATTTATCCATGGCCTTTGAAAAGACACTTGCATTCCCTTTGTGTTTTAGCACTTTGAAGCTTTGGGACTACAGCAAGGGAAAGGTAAGATTTTTTCTGTTTAGTTGGGGCATTGTTTTAATTCATAAGAATAATGCTTAATCTGTGTATAACAATATGATTTTTTTTTCTTGTTTAGTGTTTGAAAACATATACCGGTCATAAAAACGAGAAGTACTGCATATTTGCTAATTTCTCTGTCACTGGTGGAAAGGTATGTTGGAACTACACTATAATAATCAGCTGCTAAGCACATCACACTAAACACTGACATTGAGCATACTCATTTACGTGTGTTGGTTTTTTTTCACAAAAGTGTTCACTGAAATTTCCACATTTTGGTGGAAAAGGTTTTAAAGATTTTGCTTTCTCTTAAGTGGATTGTCTCCGGCTCAGAGGACAACATGGTCTATATTTGGAACCTTCAGACCAAGGAGATCGTACAGAAACTACAGGGGCACACAGGTAGGAACAAGAAGTTGGAATTTTAACTCTGGAAGCTTAAAGGGATAGTTCACCCAAAAATAAAAATTGTCATTAATTACTCACCCTCATGTCGTTCCAAACCCGTAAGGCCTGCGTTCATCTTCGGAACACAAATTAAGATCATTTTGATGAAATCCGAGAGCTCTCTGACCCTCCATAGACAGCAAGGGTACTACCACGGTCAAAGCACAGAAACGTAGTAAGGGCATCGTTAAACAACCACCCATCATTAAACAACCTATAGCCCATATGACATTAGTTGGTTCAACCATAATTTTATGAAGCTACTTTGTGCGCAAAGAATACAGAAATAATGATTTTTCTCTCCTGGGACAGTCCGCTGCCTTAATTACTTTTGCGCATAAAAAGAATTCTTACAGCTTCATAAAATTATGGTTGAACCACTGATGTCACATGGACTATTTGAAGCCCTACAGTTTGAACACTTCCTGCGAATCGTTCCAGCTGAGCAGTATGAAATTTGACAGATTTATTTCGGTCATACTTTTTGTCATTCATTTATTCTATTTTACTTCATAGTTGATTGTTGCCGTTTAATTTATACACACACTTACGTACATATGTGTGTGTGCGCACTTCTAATGTTGTGAGAAAATCATTTTGTCCTGTTTTTGTTTTTTTTGTAGATGTGGTGATCTCAACCGCATGTCATCCCACAGAAAACATCATTGCATCAGCAGCACTAGAAAATGACAAAACCATCAAACTTTGGAAGAGCGACTGCTAAGCCTCCAGCTTATTTTACTTTATTATTTTGTTAATTTTGTACTATTCATTTTGTGTGGGGGGGAAGAGACTTTTTTTGTTTTTCATTTGAAAGGTCACGCTAGACCATTCACACTGACATCAAGAGGACTGGCGAAAGCGCACTAGCCCGACATACAGTACCCTCTCCTAACACAGCTCTCCGCTCACGTGAACTAAAGCAGTCACTTTCTCTCTGCCTTGCCGCCAGCTCTCGTTCATCAGTTTAAGCATCCAGCAAAACTTTTAACCAATCTGTAAATTTAGGCAGCTTTGTTTGAACTCCACAGACGTATTAGGACAACGAGTGTTCCTGTCTTTTGGGGGTTTTTTTCCTGTAAGTTTTGTAGAATGACATCTATCTGTCTATCAGTGGTTTGCACACTTCCTGATGCCAGCAGAATGCCTTGGGCACATTTTAAGTGGCCATTTTAACAAATGTTTGGAGTATTACAATTTCTCTGCCTGTATTTGTGGCAGTTATATGAGCAGTTTGCAGCTTCACTCCATTTATTTGGCCGAAAAGAGGTTTTTCCAACTTCTCAGTTGTGAACGCCTCAAAGACTTACCTTGACTTACCAATGTCAAATGAAACCTCTATGTATGAAATGTGTTGTCTGGCAGAAGGGTGTTTTGAACGTCCACTATTTCATGTTTATTTCTGTACAGCACAAAAATGCAACTATTATATCAGCAATTAAAACAATTCATTGTGTTATAGTTGCTAAGCTAGTTGTCAGACATCAAATATGGTTTTCAGTGGCTCAATGTCGTCTAGGCAGTGCTATCAATAAAACATTCTCTTTTGTTATATAACCCTATAGCAGTCGCAGACATAATGTATGCCAAAACTTCACTTTATTCCTACAGTTGTAACTACCTGTAACACCTCTGTTCATATCAGTTTTGGTGCTTATGAAAAATAAAACTACAATATATCTGGATGGAACAGCACCTTGGTCAGACCTTTTAGAGAAAGTATCACTTAAAAGAAAAGGTTTCTAGTAGACTTCAATTACACAAGCAACAAATGTTCATTCTGAGATACAAAAACCATTCTTACCAGCACAATCTGGTAAAACGCATTTAGTTTCTAATTATGATGTGGTTTCAATTACACAACTTATGCAAGGAGGAGTGTTGCTGTGAAGTGGATATACTATAACCTTTTATCTTGTGACCAAAAGCAGTCTGGATGTATTTAGAGCCTTGAGATGTTTCTGTATCTGACACTTTGTACATACTTGCAGCTTCTCTGTTCTTTGATACGTTTACCTCTGTTCTGTGGTCTTATTAACTGTCTCAAGTAGGTGATAGTACTTTAAGAGTACTTTTTATTTTTCCTGCTCGATGTGGATGATGGTTTGGCATTAATGCATCCTCTGCCTCTGGACTCTCTGTTCTTGACCGGATTTCAAGTGCACTGCAGTGATGACAAGGGCCGCCGCATGAGGAATTCTATCTGTATTGCATTTAGTCACTTTGGACATGACCTGTGACTCAATAAAGATTTTTTTTTTTTTACCTGTATCCAGCATAATGTCATCCATGAATTTATACAGTCGATATAGTTAAAAATGTACTGTGTTTAAGGTGTGAAACACAACGTTGTTTCGACACATTGGTATCTAGGTTTATAGAAAGGGTTTATTACGTGATCATAACCGGCTGAATTTACATTATTCCACAGGAAATAAGGACACTGGTGAAATAAGGTGGATCTCGTTCTTTGTCTCCTTTCAAAGTGTAATTTGTCAAGCCACGAGCTGCTCACAATTTAAAGTAGTTAAACTACAATACAATGTAGTATTTTGAATAGTTGTACGCTACAAGGTTTACTTAAGTAGAAGTAGCTTACAGTGGGTACGGAAAGTATTCAGACCCTCTTAAATTTTTCACTCTGTTATATTGCAGCCATTTGCTAAAATCATTTAAGTAAATTTTTTTTCCTCATTAATATACACACAGCACCCCATATTGACAGAAAAACACAGAATTGTTGACATTTTTGCAGATTTATTAAAAAAGAAAAACTGGGCATGTTTTTCTTTTTTAATAAATCTGCAAAAATGTCAACAATTCTGTGTTTTTCTGTCAATATGGGGTGCTGTGTGTACATTGAGGAAAAAAAATTAACCTTAATTACTTTTGCGCATAAAAAGAATTCTTACAGCTTCATAAAATTATGGTTGAACCACTGATGTCACATGGACTATTTGAAGCCCTACAGTTTGAACACTTCCTGCGAATCGTTCCAGCTGAGCAGTATGAAATTTGACAGATTTATTTCGGTCATACTTTTTGTCATTCATTTATTCTATTTTACTTCATAGTTGATTGTTGCCGTTTAATTTATACACACACTTACGTACATATGTGTGTGTGCGCACTTCTAATGTTGTGAGAAAATCATTTTGTCCTGTTTTTGTTTTTTTTGTAGATGTGGTGATCTCAACCGCATGTCATCCCACAGAAAACATCATTGCATCAGCAGCACTAGAAAATGACAAAACCATCAAACTTTGGAAGAGCGACTGCTAAGCCTCCAGCTTATTTTACTTTATTATTTTGTTAATTTTGTACTATTCATTTTGTGTGGGGGGGAAGAGACTTTTTTTGTTTTTCATTTGAAAGGTCACGCTAGACCATTCACACTGACATCAGGGCTCAGCAAGAGGACTGGCGAAAGCGCACTAGCCCGACATACAGTACCCTCTCCTAACACAGCTCTCCGCTCACGTGAACTAAAGCAGTCACTTTCTCTCTGCCTTGCCGCCAGCTCTCGTTCATCAGTTTAAGCATCCAGCAAAACTTTTAACCAATCTGTAAATTTAGGCAGCTTTGTTTGAACTCCACAGACGTATTAGGACAACGAGTGTTCCTGTCTTTTGGGGGTTTTTTTCCTGTAAGTTTTGTAGAATGACATCTATCTGTCTATCAGTGGTTTGCACACTTCCTGATGCCAGCAGAATGCCTTGGGCACATTTTAAGTGGCCATTTTAACAAATGTTTGGAGTATTACAATTTCTCTGCCTGTATTTGTGGCAGTTATATGAGCAGTTTGCAGCTTCACTCCATTTATTTGGCCGAAAAGAGGTTTTTCCAACTTCTCAGTTGTGAACGCCTCAAAGACTTACCTTGACTTACCAATGTCAAATGAAACCTCTATGTATGAAATGTGTTGTCTGGCAGAAGGGTGTTTTGAACGTCCACTATTTCATGTTTATTTCTGTACAGCACAAAAATGCAACTATTATATCAGCAATTAAAACAATTCATTGTGTTATAGTTGCTAAGCTAGTTGTCAGACATCAAATATGGTTTTCAGTGGCTCAATGTCGTCTAGGCAGTGCTATCAATAAAACATTCTCTTTTGTTATATAACCCTATAGCAGTCGCAGACATAATGTATGCCAAAACTTCACTTTATTCCTACAGTTGTAACTACCTGTAACACCTCTGTTCATATCAGTTTTGGTGCTTATGAAAAATAAAACTACAATATATCTGGATGGAACAGCACCTTGGTCAGACCTTTTAGAGAAAGTATCACTTAAAAGAAAAGGTTTCTAGTAGACTTCAATTACACAAGCAACAAATGTTCATTCTGAGATACAAAAACCATTCTTACCAGCACAATCTGGTAAAACGCATTTAGTTTCTAATTATGATGTGGTTTCAATTACACAACTTATGCAAGGAGGAGTGTTGCTGTGAAGTGGATATACTATAACCTTTTATCTTGTGACCAAAAGCAGTCTGGATGTATTTAGAGCCTTGAGATGTTTCTGTATCTGACACTTTGTACATACTTGCAGCTTCTCTGTTCTTTGATACGTTTACCTCTGTTCTGTGGTCTTATTAACTGTCTCAAGTAGGTGATAGTACTTTAAGAGTACTTTTTATTTTTCCTGCTCGATGTGGATGATGGTTTGGCATTAATGCATCCTCTGCCTCTGGACTCTCTGTTCTTGACCGGATTTCAAGTGCACTGCAGTGATGACAAGGGCCGCCGCATGAGGAATTCTATCTGTATTGCATTTAGTCACTTTGGACATGACCTGTGACTCAATAAAGATTTTTTTTTTTTTACCTGTATCCAGCATAATGTCATCCATGAATTTATACAGTCGATATAGTTAAAAATGTACTGTGTTTAAGGTGTGAAACACAACGTTGTTTCGACACATTGGTATCTAGGTTTATAGAAAGGGTTTATTACGTGATCATAACCGGCTGAATTTACATTATTCCACAGGAAATAAGGACACTGGTGAAATAAGGTGGATCTCGTTCTTTGTCTCCTTTCAAAGTGTAATTTGTCAAGCCACGAGCTGCTCACAATTTAAAGTAGTTAAACTACAATACAATGTAGTATTTTGAATAGTACGCTACAAGGTTTACTTAAGTAGAAGTAGCTTACTACAATATAGCTTACTGTATATATACAGTGGGTACGGAAAGTATTCAGGACCCTCTTAAATTTTTCACTCTGTTATATTGCAGCCATTTGCTAAAATCATTTAAGTTAATTTTTTTTCCTCATTAATGTACACACAGCACCCCATATTGACAGAAAAACACAGAATTGTTGACATTTTTGCAGATTTATTAAAAAAGAAAAACTGGGCATGTTTTTCTTTTTTAATAAATCTGCAAAAATGTCAACAATTCTGTGTTTTTCTGTCAATATGGGGTGCTGTGTGTACATTGAGGAAAAAAAATTAAATGATTTTAGCAAATGGCTGCAATATAACAGAGTGAGAAATTGAAGAGGGTCTGAATACTTTCCGTACCCACTGTATAATTATGCAATGTAATTTTAATCATATCAATCTTTGTGGGACCGAGGGTTTTTGAATGAACAAACTTCTTGTTTAGGGGGACAGTCAAATGTGAGCAGATACATTACTCAAATATAGGCCTAACTAAAAACTAGAATTCTGCCCAATTTATATAATGGACTCTATGCACGGCACATAGCATACTATTTCATATAGACATACTGGTGAACTACATAGCCTGCTACACAAGAACTTCATAAATTCAGTTTTAAATCTGAATGTTTTGTAAACTGTTTATTGATGAGAACGCAGAGAGTCACGTTTCAGAAAGCATGTGAACACAATTTCTCCTTGCGCTTGAGCGGACACATCAGTAGGTTTAGGGTTAGGTGTGGGGGAGGGGTTAGGATTAGGCAATCAGGTAGCGATTTCAACGAGGGGGGTAATAATTTGGCAGGGAGTCGAAAATGGGCACAACATCGGCCTGTCGCATAGGTGAAATAGGCAAATGCTAGGGGTGCCCAAATAAGTTTTATTTTAATTTTTTTGTTATATATATATATATACACATATATACAGTGGTGTGAAAAAGTGTTGGCCCCCGGGCAAACACTTTTTCACACAAGGCCATGTAGTTTTGGATTTTGTTTTCCCTTAATAAAAACCTTCATTTAAAAAGTGCATCTTGTGTTCTCTTTTACTAATATTTAAATTTGTTTGATGATCTGAAACATTAAAGTGTGACAAACATGCAAAAAAATAAGAAATCAGGAAGGGGGCCAACACTTTTTCACACCACTGTATATGTTTATTATTATTTTAATTAGGGGTGCACTATATTATCGAAATATAATCGATATCGTATGATATAGCTTAATGCCAGTCATATCGCGAAGGTTGCGATTTAATATAAAAATACCAATGCGCTGCAGTTCGGAGTGAAGCGTGTAATATGTTCGAGCGCAGCCCATGACACGCAGCGGCAGCGCATCACTCTGAAACATGCAGCACATTTATTTATTTGCTGGGAAACCACCAAAATAAAAGCAGTTTAATATTTGAAATTGAGCAGAGATGCACTGATTGACCATCGGCCATAAATTGGAATAATAATAATAATTTTGGGGGGGGGGATTACATTTGTGCCAATTAAAATGAATGTAATTTTTCAAGAAACTTATGAAAATATAAATTGAAACTGAAAATGTCTTTGAAACTGAAAAAAAAATTAAATGCAGGCAAAATCTTTGACTTTGTTTTTAATGCACTGCATGTTTTGCAACTGTTTTCTCTTCTTTCATTAGCTGATCTGTACTTACAAATGCGCTTCCAGAGTTTTCATTTACACTTCTAAAGATTTCATTTACGCTTCTAAAGATTTCATTTACACTTCTAAAGATTTCATTTACGCTTCTAAAGTTTTCATTTACGCTTCTAAAGATTTAATTTACGCTTCTGAAGTTTTCGTTCGCCATTCTGATGCAAATCTCTCGTGGGGGCTGGGCTAGCAGCAGTGTGTTCTCATTGGCTACTGAGTTTTTGATTGACAGCTTCTTGACCTGGCAGTGAAGACGTCAGTGACAGTGTTGCCTTGCCAGTGTGGATGTGAGCATCTGTTAGCGGCTTCCAATTTCATTTTAATGACATAAAAAGATATATAAAGATTTTTTTTTTATTATTTTATCAGTATTTATCTGCTGCTACACTACATTGTTGAGATGATTTCTTAGGAATAGCAGACGAATGATTTCATCATCATCATCAATCATCGTTGTAATCAGGATACTTGCGGTAAGTTTTCTTGATTTAGCCCAATCATTACAGGACCTGGTTATCTACATACATTTACAGTCTTCAATTGGATCATATTTGCTTTGATTAGTTCATATTTTCCCCCAGCAAATAATGTACAGTACTAAATGTACTGTATCTGACAATGACCAATGCCATTTTACAAGCTCGCTGTCAATCACTGCACTGTCAACTTTAGCAATGTAAAGCCTTTTTACCATGCTTTTCATAACATACTCATTCACTGTTTTGTAACTTATACTGTAACAGCAACTGTTGAAAGCATCATTGCCGTTTAAAACATATTATGAATTGTGAACATATTCTGTATATTATGTTCTTGTGCATTTTGTGAAGTAATGTAAATTATGAGAATACTGTGCATTACATGAATACTATGCAGTGGATTCTGGTATTTCCTGTCACAACATAAATGCATCCAAGACTTTCACTTTGATACTTCTGTATAGGCTATAGTGACAATAAAGAATGTACATTTATTTGAACTAAATAATATTTTCATTTACATTCATTAAAACTGGTTTATAAAAGTCATACTTGAAAGAGTTGATGATTGTTAAAATGTATTTCCAACTTTAAACGTTAGATGATAATGTTAACTAACTAAAATAACTAAACAAAATTATCAGCATGATAAAAACAATTGTCTGCAAGAAAAAAAATTAAGATCTGTGCATCCCTAAATTTATGAATGTTTGAAATGAAGAAATTAAGATTTAAATGTTAGTATTGTAGCTGCCTTTGGACGATAAAGTTCTCTAATTTAAATTGCTAGCTGAGTTAATTGATTTATTCAGTTTATTTATTTATTTATTGTGCAACCGTCTTATTTATTTCATATGTAATTTGTTCTATGTCATAAAGCTATGCAGTTTCTGTGTGAATGATCGATGGTTGAATTGGCTGCGATGCAAGGGGCACCAGCTAAAATCTTGCCTAGGGCACCAAATTGGTTAGGGCCGGCCCTGGGACACATACTAAATTACCTCAAAATTCTAGTCAAGTTTTCTCATAAACACAATCGGTTATGTCTTGAAGAGAAGGTAATTAGAAAAAAATCAAATGCATATTATTATGTCTGTACATTCAGTCTTAAAGTGACAGCAACCTATACATATCTGGCAACAACAAAACAGCTTTAGCAAAGATTAATCTATATTTAATTTATACAGTAAACACTTTGCAGTGTTATTTCACACTTAATTACATTTCTGTATCTGAATATTCTTGTTAGACCTAACTTTATAACTTATTATATTTATTTTTTAGCAGGGACAATGCAGAATAACATTGCAGATGCTCTACATTCAGGCTTATAGCCAATGGCTAATGTGCAGCCACAGTCCATGGTAAGGCTTTTAATTATTTTAAAATAATATAAAAGCAATTCAGGTTTGTTCTGATGGTTTTACAAAGCCTCTTTACATGCACATCGAATTTTAATTGAGAATCCAAAATAACACCTAAAAATTAAAAATCACTAACTGTTTCTATTACCCTTTGGTCAATCATAATCGTAAAACCACTCATGTCTTTCCTTCTGATCGAGAAACAAGCAAAAAAAAAAATTTATGATTTATTAAGGAAATCCCATCCAATAATTTAACTAGATTTATGATTTCAGACTTCCTCAATGACTTTTCTTCTTTTTTGATTAGCTATTCAGAGTTTTTTCTATTTGCTATAGTAATTTGCTTTTCCTTTTTTGTGCACCAATTTTGCTGCTTAATGTTTAACTAAACTTGACCCTCTGAAGAAGTGCTGAATGGTTTGTGCTGTTTTTCCTCACTGGGGCTGATTTGGAGCATCTTCCAAATTAATAAATGTAAAGAAAAATTAAAGCACTGCTTGCTTTTTCATAAAAATAATTGTGGATTTCTCTTCTGCCTTCCCTATGTTACACTACCTGACTCCTGAGCTACTCCTGCCATTTGTCCCTGTTGAAACCATTCATGCTGTAAGATCTCCTCTAAAGTTGCTCTCTCTGCAGGATCACGAGTCAGGCACCGGTTTATCAAATCCTGGCATTCTGGTCAAGTTTTCACAAGAGAGCTGGTTAGTTACGTATGTCACGCTAACGTTGAGATGTATGAAAATTTGTTTAACAATTCTATAGTCTTTGTGTTACTGGTAGTTATCAGTTCACTTACCTCTGGATAATGTGTGGTCGATCGTCACATTGGCTATCATTCTGTCAAATGCAGTCTTAAAAGGCTTATTTCCAGTGACCATTGAGTAAAGCACGGCGCCCAGACTCCAGACTGTTGCTGGGCCTGCGTGATATTCACTTGGGTACTCAGGTGGGCGGCAACCTCCTGTTCATTGAAGCAAGAGATTTTTACATTGAACAAGCATTTTATTTTTCTGTTTTTACATATCTATTCTTATAAATAGTAAACACATCATATGATCATTAAATCAGTACACAGGAGACTGAAATCTTATTAGAGCTTATTGTAAGCGTTAAGACAAAAAGCCAACTCACCTAAATGTCCATTTTCAAAGCCAGAAGGATTGACGAGGCAACTGCCACCAAAGTCTATTAATTTGAGTTCCATCGTCGATGTATTGACCAGCATGTTGTCTTCTTTGATGCTGCAATGGAAGACCTCCCGGTCAAGACAGTGCTTTGCTCCGAGGACTGCTTGGATCATCAGGCCACATGCCAGTGATTCATTTAGTCGTGGCCTGTTGTCATTGAGGAATCTGCGCAAACTCTTGCAGGAACATGGATACTCCAGGATGAGGATGTAATCATCTTCCTCTTCAAACCATTCCAGCATATACACTATGTACTGACTTAGTGGGGGCTGTTTCATCACCAGATTTATAGCCACTTCTTCAAACACTGGCTCAAAACATCCAAGCTAGAAAAACAAAATCAATAAAAAGTTAGTTCACTATGGGTATGTTTAGCCGCTTTTCCACCATCGGGCTGAACAGCTCTAAGAACAATAAAGAACGGTTCCAGTAATGTTTCCACGAGCTCGGGTCAGTGGTGGAAAAGCAGATTTTGATTTTCTCACAAACTTGTATTTAGATAAATTTGATTCATTTAGATATATTTATAAAGTTTTGCCAACTTACAATTTTTATATTATTGTCACTTGTCCTCTTTGGAATAAATTTGATGGCGACCTGCAAAATAATAAAAAAAGGATAAACAAAAAAGGGTAAAAAGCATGGGTAAATCAATCATATTAATTAATTAATTTATATTAAAGACTGAATATTCTCATTAACACAATTTTTGTAATTATTTAAAACATGTTTTGATTAAAGCACTCATCATATTTGGCATATTTGGTGAATACAGCAAAAGTGATTGTACCTTCTGGCCATCAGATTTCCGGATCCCCTCATACACAGAGCCATTGCCTCCTTTTCCAATTAACCTTCCCCATTCATAAAGTTCACCAAATGGAACTGCAAAAATACAAAAAGAGCATGTTAATTTACATGGACTTCAGTAGCAGTAGTGGGTGTGAATTGGCAGACAAAATAAACACATCTAGTACAAATCAGCTACCTGGAGACTAAATATGGATGATGTTATGTAAAAGTAAAGGGCATGATAATCAAGTTCTAATCAAGTAATCTAGGAAAAAAATAATACTTGGATCAAGTACTATATTTATCAGTTATATCTGGAATGAGGTATCAGGTATCTGACATACAACAAATGTGTAAACAAATGTGTGGGAAGTCGTGGCCTAATGGTTAGAGAGTCGGACTCATAACCCAAAGGTTGTGGGTTCGAGTCTCGTACCGGCAGGAATTGTAGGTGGGGGGAGTGAATGTACAGCGCTCTCTCCCACCTTCAATACCCCCGTGAACCCCCAACTGCTCCCCGGGCGCCGCAGCATAACTGGCTGCCCACTGCTCCGGGTGTGTGTTCACGGTTTGTGTGTGTTCACTGCTGTGTGTGTGCACTTTGGATGGGTAAATGCAGAGCACTAATTCCGAGTATGGGTCACATGTCACGTCACTCACTTCACTTTGAAATATTTAACTAGACACAGGTGTAAAAACTAATATGTGCAAGAACAAGAAATGCAAGCAGAAAAACATTTACGAGTAGCTGGAGGGATGTATGGAACTGGATCTCCAATGCGTCTTCTTCGCCTGAAAGCACTCTGGACAGGCCAAGGTGGCAATGTACGAGGAACAACTGGATTCTGCAGAGCCGTGGGCATGAGGACAGATGGACCCGGATGAGGATCATCTGGATCCTGCAGAGCCATTGATTTAAGTTTGGATTGATCTGATTGAGGATCGGTTGGAACCTGTTGAGCCACTGGCTTGAGAACAGATGGATCTGGCTGAGGGCCCACTAAATTTGTGTTAGGCTGTGGTGGAAGAGGACCCACTTCATTGTATTGTGTTGCACTTTTTACAGTCTGCCACATTCTTTTAAATAAACCCACTGATGCCTTTCTTCTTCTGCCTTTTTTCAAAAGAAAAAAATGAAACAGAGAAACACAAGAGTTAGAAATTACCAACAGATTTCAGAAGTCAAATATTAAAGCTAGACTTCAAGAAAAAATATACATATATTTTTGAACACCAAAACTAACAACCATGCTAGCGGGGAGAAAGGAAGTCTTGGAAGTCTGAGTAGTATTCCATTTCACCAAAGGCTTGTAGTAAACACTGCTGTACACAACTTAAAGGTGCAGTCCGTAACTTTTTTGCGTTCAAAATTTACTAAATTTATATATTAAGCGATTACACCATGAAACCATTTTCCAAACCGTGTTTTTGGCTTGGGCTGAATCACTACGGTACTACGGTAAAGTGTTTATATTCGGACTATTTAGACTGGTTCGGGTAGGTACCGCTGCGGAGTAGCCCAGTACCTGCGTGATTCGTCATAGACATAAATAGAGAGAAGTAGCTCCGGCTACAATGTTCTTCCGCAAGACGCACGCAGTTCTGTTTATTAACCGCTAGAGCGCCAAACGTTACGGACTGCAGCTACAAAGTACAACTACACTGATAAACAAACTACAGAAAATAGTTTATGAAAAGATAAATAAATGATCATCGCAACGTTTGTTCTTTCAATGTAGCCTACACAAATGATATGAACCCCTATAACAATGCCTGTTCACATTATATTTTCCAACTACTATATTATATATTTATTTCACAAAATTAAGTTGAAATGTAAAGACTGCCTGTTGGTCTATTCTCCATATCGCTTGAAAAGCTTGTGCTCACACTGAAGCGTTGTAAAAGTCGCTCTATGGGCAAACTTGGAGTGTTTTCTCAGGTGATAATCTTCTTGGTGATCACTCAATCTACCAGCGTTCATCTACACGGCACAACTCCTGGCACTGTGACGTCATGGAATCGTTCTTCTTTTTCCAAAGCATTTTTTTTAAACAATGCATTATGGGGGACTTGCTTTTATGCTTATACTTATTTATTTATTTAAGTTAAAGGGACACAAAGCATCGTATATCAAGAAGAATATTTTATCGATACTCACACAATGCCCATCGGCAGAGGGTGAACCAACTCTACGGAAAGGCTAAAAGTAGCCTAATGTTAATGTATTTTATTAAATATGCATCATCATAAACCGGTCATTTTTAGGCAACAAGATATGCGCGTCATAAAATATTGTTAATCCTAGCTACTGAATTTGTATTTAACGCGATCACAATTTAATACAAACATTATTACTAATGAACGCTTTCATTTCCACGGTTATTCGGACATGAGTAAATTACATACAGAAAGCAAGCAAAGAACATTTACATGATCATCGAAACAACTTCAGTCTATAGTAAATTTAAGCACACAAAAACTCACGTTATAATGAAGCTAAACTGTGAAATGAATTTCATTCTTACATGGTACACATTTCTGCGCTTTGTTGTTTATGATGAGAATTTGCATGCAAAACTCTGGCATTTCAGAGATGACTAATCTGGACGCCTCTGATTGACCATTGCATTCATTCATCTCTTGCTACTTTGAAACCTTTTTTTACAGTCCATGTTTGAAACGATCAGTAGTGAAACGCGCAATAAAATAAACGTGAAATGAATTGAACTTCAAAACGGTATAGGCTATGTCTCAGCTGCACTTCTTCCATACAGAGGAATCTCTCGAAGAACTGCTGATTCTGAACCTCATCATCCGACCGTACAGTAGCCTACACGTTAATTCCTACGAACTATTCAAAAGAACCGATTCTCTGAATCGGACTTCCCAACACTAAAAAAAGACAGTTGATTCCCAACCAAGCCCCTTTACTTCAGTTCAATCAAGATAAGTACAAACAGCACTTCAAGTATCACACCCCTTCAGTATTCACGTTAAACAAAATAGTAGAGGTTAACTGTCACAACACAAAAGGATTGCTCTAGTTCTTGAGTCACAGGTGAGGAACATCTCATTATGCGCATGCGCATTAATGTCACCGCTGCCCTGGCAACGCAGTTTCTGAGACGGGAGCGGTTGAAAGCAAAAATGTCTGCAAGAGATGAAAGCAAAGTTGGGACGGTGAAATCTGAAGAGGTATGATAACGATTATAGAGAACGCAAACTAGATAAGTAACGTTTATAAACAGAGCTTTTGTTGGCTTGAGAATAGATAGATGTGTGTCTGTTTTGATTGTAATTTTTGACAGTTGGCGTCTGAGAGTCGTGGCTCTTTCAAGCCAACATAACTTTTTTGGCTTGAACTTTGTTCAACATTCTGATCGACTATTAACTTATTTATTGTTTATTATTATTCTGAGGCTCTCTTTGCATTATACCTTGCAAACAAGATTTCAAAATCTACATCTACTCATACATTCATCTCAACTCAACATACATTCATCTCAATATTCCGTGGTCTGTCTGAATACTGGATTCTGATTGGCTGGCAGGTAACGTTATGCAGTAAAACCCGTTTAAGGGTCCTATTATGCTTTTTCACTTTTTCAACTTTAGTTAGTCTGTAATGTTGCTGTTCGAGCATAAAAAAAGATCTGCAAAGTTATGAAGCTCAAAGTCCACTTCAAAAGGAGATATTTTATTTAACAGAAATCACTTTTCAAAAACTACAACGAACTAAAAAGCTAAGTTTGGACTAAAAAGCATATTTTCCGGGATTTGTGATATCACAAATATCGACGAATGGGACGAGATCTGGTTGAGCTGCACTAGAGAAGGCAACAAGTGTTATCACTATGTCGGAGACACGCTAGCTTTCCCAAGGCAGACGAACTTAGAGTGGTTACAATCATCCGGGTTTAAATCACACTCAAATTGATTTGATTTTGATGCAATATTTACACTGAAGCTCTTAGGCGGCTATGGTAAGGGGCATGACATTTCCCGAGCAGGCACCGAGTGGAGCCAATCACAGCACACACTGGCCCAGCTAACCAATCACAACACATTTCGTATTTCAGAAGGCGGGCATTCATTTGATACAGGAACTATTCGAGCCGTTCATGCCAGACTGGGGAGAGAGGTGTTGTAATAATGTAAAATATGAGAAAAATAATGTGTTTTTCGAACAACCTAGTAAAAGACGTACTAGCCTGTTCTAGTACACCCCCAAAACAAAATCAAGACTTTGTAAAAGAGCATAATAGGACCCCTTTAATGCACAGGTAGTTTCAAGTCGGTTTAATCACCGTTCCATATTAATGCGCTGCTTTAATTGATGTACACAAACACATCACTCGCACACGCACACACACACACACACAGAGAGAGAGAGAGGTCGGAGATCGATCGTAGATTGCGCTGCACACACACATAAACTTGTTGTCAACGCTTCCCCGCGATTTTTATTAATAAAATAGCATAGATACTAGATCGCTACATTCTATTCCTCAACAGCGAGGTGATAAAATTGCTGTTTTTGAAGTAATTAATTGTTTGCAGACAACTGTCATCTCTCTCTCTCTCTCTCTCTCTCTCTCTCGATAATTAATTGAAATAAATGCTATAATTCATTCAAATAAATGTGATCTTACAGCACTATTTCATCTCTGTGTCTGATTTGATGCGGGAAGAATGTTAGAGTTAACGAACCGTACCTGACGAAAATAACTGTCATTTTTACCCTTCCAGTAAAATATTGCGCTGCAAAGAGCAAAACTACTTTTAACTTGGCAAATAACGTCTTGGCCTCCACGTCGTGCATTTCAAATCCTTTAACGCACGGCAAGCCGTTGATTATCCCTTACATATCTGACAGTTACGGTATATCTGGAAGTTGGGATTTCAGATACTCTATCCACCTTTTTCTTCAACGCGGAAGTAAGCCTATGGGTGAGACTTCCGGTTCATTAGCCGCTATAGGTAAATAACGAGGAGAATAACAACGTGCAGTAAACGGTAAAACTGTTTGCACTACAAACCAGTGTGTTCATAATTTCAGATAATTCATTGAAATAATATGATAAGACACACCAACTTTCAATATCAAGCAGCAAAACGAACTGTTTTGCTCAGCTAAAAATAGCTGGAAGGAGTGGACGCAGATGAGACCGGAAGCCAGGCCCATATAATTTACAAATGGCCGCGCCCATTTTTACGACAAGAAAAAGGTGGATAGCAGCGGAAGAGTCTTGGTCCTATGGGTTACATTACTGCTATTACTATTAATTATTACTATTAGGCTACATTACAACACTATTTGCTTTTTGTTTTGCAGGACAAAGCAACTCAAACCAGTCCACCAAAGTCCACCAACTTCGCCAACTTCAGTGCTACAGCCAGCCAGGTGAGAAAAACGTTTAATTTGCTGGTGAATTATTTTGATCAAAATGTTGTGTTAGACCTGCAGCAAAACAAAACTATGTATTACGGTGAATATGGACACATACAATGTTAGCATGCCCTGCTCTTTCTGCAGTGGGAAATCTATGATTTTTACCAAGAGGAAATTAAGAGGCGGGACAAATCAAGTCATCAGTCCATAAAGGAGGAAGAATTTGAAGATTCACAAATTAAGGTTGTGTTGTAACAAAGTGCATACACTTTCATCAAGAAAATGACTTCTCTTTTTAACAAATCCCCTCTTGTGCTTATAGACTCATGATATAGCCCATCTGGCTGGGCTGGCCAGGTACGTGGAGGGTAAGGTGTTTCACAGAGCATATGCAGACATTTTATATGGTAATTATAAGAAATTATTTATTTTCACTGCTACACCCATAATTTTAGATTACAGACAGATGGACAGATATTAAAAAGAGCATGTATTTTTCTTATGTAAATGTCTTTATATCCAACCCCAGATATCAAGCATTTTGAGGATGCATCTGATGAATTCAGAGGAGAGAAGGGCACTCTGCTCCCTTTGTGGAAATTCGAGTATGATAAAGCAAAAAGTCTGTCTGTGACTGCCCTCTGCTGGTGAGTTTAACACTGTATTAAAAAATGCAGTCATAAGTTAAATAAAAATCACTTCTTTGAGTGGCATTTTTATTTTTTTTATTTCTAGGGATCAAAAACACAATGATTTGTTTGCTGTTGGTCTTGGGTCACGTAAGTTTACTATTTACCATATACAAGCAATCATTTGTAATTTAAATGGCTCTGAAATGTGTTACATCTTTCCCTTTCAGATGAATTTACACAGCAGGGGGGTGGCATGCTTGTCTTGTACACCCTGAGGAACCCCAATTACCCAGAATTCATCTTTAACACGGCCTCAGGCGTAATGTGTGTAGATATCCATGAGCATCTGTCCCACCTGGTGGCTGTAGGTTTGTATGACGGCTGTGTTGCAGTATATAACCTAAGGAAAAAGAGTGATGAGCCCTTTTGGAACAGCAGAGCCAACCCTGGCAGACATAAAGGCGCTTTGACACAGGTATGGATGAGGATGTGACCATGGAGTCAGTTAAAACAATTCTGGTAAACTTTCACTACCTAAAGTATGATATGACAGTGGACCTGTATGTTTAATACAATGTTCAGAATAGTACCATTCTACTCTTATAGTTCTGTAATTTGGAGTAAATGCAGTACTGTCTACTGTGCCTACTATCTACGTACATATTTACCAAATTGTGCAATACACAACCAGAGCATGCTCTGTAGTGTGTTCTGATCCCACAATACAGTGCAAACCTACTATATAATATACTATTGTTTTAAAATACTTGCATAAATATACACTCCTGTGACACTTGGCTGATAAGAAAGTCTTGGCTGTACTGTGTTTTGTTCAGTGTTGGGGGTAATATATTACAAGTAACGCAAGTTACAAAATCAGATTAATTTTTTCAAGTAACTAGTAAAGTAACGCATTACTTTTTAATTTACAAGAGAATATTTGAGTTACTTTTTCAAATAAGTAACGCAAGTTACTTTTTTTCAATGTATTGATTGACAGCTCTCCTGTCCCCATATTGAGAGAAATCAGAAGATGTTACTGTAGTTCAAAATAAATATGAATATGCATTAATTCATCTCACTCACACACAAAAAAAACACACAGATTCAGTATTCCTCAAAATGAATAAAAATAATGCAACTCAGAATATGACGCAAACCTGCAATAATTAAATGTTAAACAACACAAATATCCTTTATGTATTTATTCCCATTCTATTAACCAATGTCTTTGCTTCTGACTTTTGATGATCCAGTTCAACCGTACTAATAAGCAAAAATTACTCTAGACGAACATTTGTGTGTCTTTTTTTATTGCTGAAGTGTGTTGAAATTTCTTCTTCTGCATTCTACTGTACGGACGTAAATTTACTTTCCCTTCAGCCTGAGGCTTATTCATTTCACTTTAGGTGTGAAAAGGCTTTTATATTTGCCAAAAATATAACTATTTTATTATAAAAACAAACAAGCAAGCCCTGTCCAGATTTAAAAAGTAGCGCAATTGTAACGTAACGCGTTACTTTCCATAAAAAGTAACTAAGTAATGTAATTAGTTACTTTTTTAATGGTGTAATGCAATATTTTAATGCATTACTTTTAAAAGTAACTTTCCCCAACACTGGTTTTGTTTCATTGTCTTCATTACAGGTGAAGTGGCAGAAGGATGATTTGGACAGTAATCACAACTTCATCTCTGTGTCTGCTGATGGACGAGTGGTGTCTTGGACTCTGGTAAAGGTACAGAAGGAAATATCTAAAGGTTGATTCTAAAGCAAGTCATTATTGTATGAGGTTGTCTGATGCCAGTCATTTGAATTTTAGCACGAGCTAGTCTTCACAGACATGATCAAGCTCCCAGTCCCAGACACAATTCCTGATAACCTTAAGGATGTCTTTTCCACAGGTATGAACCACCTTACCACACTGGTCAGTGATTACAAGTATGTAATACAAGTATTTTATAATGCTCCATTATTAGCAGCTTTCATTGCACAACCGATATGAGCAAAATTATATTTATAAAAACATGCAGTGAGGATGTGAGTGGGGGTTTCTCTCAGTATAAGGACAGGGGCCCGTCCGCTGTGACTACTGTATATTCACAATCTAGAACAGGAAATGTAATCACATTCACAATCACAAAAACTTTACCCATCCTTCCTGCACGTAATACAGATGTAAATATGATCTTGCCGCAGCTGGTATTTGCATTTAGCTTTGTATGACAGTGTTTCATTAATGGGTGATATTGAGGTTTGATGATAATTCAGATGACTTGTTAAATGCTCAAAGGAGCTTCTTATCAGTTCCAAATATGTTCAGGGCTGCGTTTCCCAAAAGCATCATAAGCTTAAGTACATTGTAGACCCATTGAAACCAATAGAGCTACGGTCAAGTTAATTTCATTTAAAAAATAAATTCATTTAGAAAACTGAATTTTTGATTAGTAATATGCATTGCTAAGGACTTCATTTGGACCGCTTTAAAGGCAATTTTCTCGATATTTAGATTTTTTTTTTTGCATCTTCAGATTCCAGATTTTCAAATAGTTGTATCTCAGCCAAATATTGTCCTATCCTAACAAACCAATCAATGGAATCAATGTAAATTCTTCATAGCGATAATCCACGTGCCTCAAAATACTGAAGACGGTTCAGGTCTACTTCCCAGTAGTCTGCCATTGGATACAACACCTCAGCAATCTGAAACAGCATTAGTATTAGGGTGCAGTCACATTAACTGTTGTTCAGTGAATTTTCACAGGCAAAATCCAGTCATTTCAAAAGAAATCCGTGTGATCAGGAAAGATTTCCCCATGCAGATTTTTTGAAGTTGGTCATGCAAATTTGCTGTGTTGATCGACAGAAAGCAGTAGAAAGTATAATGCAAAAGAAAAGAGATTACTAAACTTTGTGTATTCATCAGCATTGATTACAGTTGGTAGATCAAATATAGCATCATTCATTTAATATAAAAGCTCAAATCAACTGCCAGCCTTTTGGCCTGTAGTATCAATGCCAGAAACACAACAGTTGCCAATCACATTCTGTGTGTTTCAAAGCTCTCGCGTCTGCTTTGTGTGTCTGTGTGGATTGAACTGAGAGATCTTGCATAATCTCAGTAAACAGTCTGCTGTATCAGAATAGTAATACTACCAATCACACTGTAGTGTGTGTGCCAGGTCTCCAGCTGGTTTGCATGCTACACTACATTAGCATACTCAGTCACAGCCAGTCAACCTACTGCCCCATCAGTACCAACCCAACCAAAAAAAGAGAAATATCCATTCGCGAATGGAACACCATAGTGGCAGGATTTATTTGGAAAATCAACTAGGGGGAAAAAAAGTCTGTCGACTGACTGGGGGATCGTGACGACAAAAACAGCACACAGACATCAAATGTATGACCTAATGCGTATATTTATACCTAACCATGACCACAAATAAACACAAACTCCTCACGGATCAACTCGTATCCTCAGGTTATCTGTGTGTTTGTATCCTCTGAACTTTCGTGATGTGACATGGCCAAGTACGGTGACCCATACTCGGAATTAGTGCTCTGAATTTTAACGCATCCAAAGTGCACACACACAGCAGTGAACACACACACACACACACCCACACCCACACACCCACACACCCACACACCCCCGGAACAGTGCGACGCCCGAGGAGCAGTTGGGGGTTCAATGCCTTGCTCAAGGGCACCTCAGTTGTGGTACTGAAAGTGGGAGAGAGCGCTGTACATTCACTCCCCCCACCTACAATCCCTGCCGGTACGAGACTCGAACCCGCAACCTTTGGGTTACGAGCCCGCCTCTCTAACCATTATGCCACGACTTCCCCACGAGGTCCATAAGGGACCTTTAACGTAGTAGAATGAAGCAGGGTGAGGCTGAAAGCTGTTGAAGCGAAACGAGGCCGCTGAACGAGCCGCTGCACACGGCTCGAAAGCAGCGGAGCTTTTATTATGCCACAGTCGACCGCTTCCGAGACTCGAACCCGCAACCTTTGGGTTACGAGTCCGACTCTCTAACCATTAGCCCCCCCCTTTCTGCAGAAGATCCACCACATGACTCCAGAAGGCAATCCACCACATGACTCCAGAAGTCAAATGTCTCCCTGCACATCTGGATCATGCCATATCCTGTAGGATGCTCTCTTGCCTGGCAAGAGTGTATCCCTGCAGAAGCCCTGAGCTGGAACAGGAGTAAGACAGTGTGAGAGCGTCTCCAGGCTCTCTAGGACTGGTGCAACAGAACGGTGCGTTCCCTTTCTTGCTCTCTTTCTCTCTCACACACACACACACACACACACACACAATAATAGAGAATTGCACATGCTCCTCGACATACTCTCTCTTGCTCTCATACAGTAGAGTTTCTCTCTGTATCCCTACACTTGCACACATGGAGAGCAGTGAAGTGTAGAGCCACTCATACAAAGTATAAAGGGCATAAGATGGCATGTCTATTCTTAAGGGCCTGGACTTTCAAGATGATCTTGAAAGGACACTGCATTGCAACCACACCCTCTGTCTGCATGCATCGCCTGCCATTTCCTCACATGACACAAACACACCCTCCTCTGGCTGACTTGGCCGATTGTGTTGGTTCATTATAACTGGATTGGTGGATGAGGATGTTAGGCTATACTGTATATATATATATATATATATAGATTGATATAGATATAGAATGGTAGCTAGGGATACAGAGCTTTCGATAATCATCAAGGATAAGAGAAATATCAAATGTGACATCCTTGGCCTCTGTGAAACACATGAGGGTGAGTAATTAATGACAGAAATAGTTTATTTTTGGGTGAACTATCCCTTTAAAGAACTTTATGCAGAGTGGAAGGACGGATCAACAGTAGCACTTGAATTGGGGAAGGATTAAGGAGTGGAGGAGGAATTGGATTTATTGTGTCGAGCAAATGGGCAAAGCACACTGATCATTTAGATGTGTCCAAGCCTCGTTTTGGCATCCTCACCCTTACCTTTCCCCAAAAGAACAAGTGCACGCCCCTACCGCAGCAGCAGAAGATGAAGAGGTAGAGCTATTTTATGAAGACCTTGAGGAGGCAATGAACGTGTGCTGCATCTACCTCGTGGTGATGGGTGATTTCAATGCAAAAGTTGGACACTGCAAGGTTAACGTCAAATTCATTCATGACAGCCGTATGAGACATGTGAAGACCAACACAACACATTGATCCACTAACTCTTACATATGCTTAATGTTTATGATTCTTTTTGCCACCTGGATGTACTGCGCAGTGTTAAGCTGTGGCGATGTTTCCTTGGGATACTTTAGGCCCCATTATCCCAATATCACAATCCCTGACAGCTGTCAGATATCTGAACATTGTTGTGGACAAATGGGAACTGTGTTCCTTGCCGGTGATGGCCATTACCAACAGGATAATGCACCATTCCAGAATCATCAAGGAGTGGTTCGAGGAACATGATGGTAAATTTCTGTTAATGCCTTGGCCTCCAAATTCACACGAACCCAATAGAAAAGCGGGTTTGCACTACATCACCATATGTGTGTGTGTGTGTGTTTGTCTGTGTGTATCATTAAACAATAAAACTGGACAAGTAACTCCATATGTAAAATTTTAAATGATTTATTAAGCCAATCCCTCCCACCCACCCAATAAATTAACTAGATTTATGAGGAGCACATAGTCTATACATTTGCTCCTCTATTTCCTCCCATCATTTGCACTGTTACTACTCATTTTTGCACTAGTTTTCTCTACTTTGTGTACAAGTGTTTTTTTTTTTTTTTTTTACATTACACTGTCTGCTTCATACTTCTTCCAATGACCTCTTCAGGATAAATTTGATGGCAACCTGCAAAAGTAATAGAATAAAAGAAAATAAAGAGATGTTAAAAAGCATGGGTAAATGAATCATATTAATGATTCAATATTAAAGAATTAATATTCTTATTGACACTTTTTTTTTCAATTTCAATTATTTTAAACCTGTTAAATAAAGCACTGGTCTATACATTATGTATGGATTATATAGCAAGAGTACCTTCTGGCAATACAAGTAGTGGGTGTGAATTGGCAGACAGAAGAAATCCATACCATTATGTAACGTATGTAAAAGAAAATGGCAAGATAATCAATCAGGTTCTTTATAATCATATTTCTTTAAATAGGGAATCTAGAAAAAATAACTACAATAGCATACTGCTGTTTGAAATGTTCAGTATTGCATATTGTTTCACAATTTAAAATATGCAAAACACACAAAATATGTTGCTGAAATGCTTAGAAACAGAATGATATTTTCATTCTGTTCGATCATTCTGCAAGCTGATATTTTATTCCCTACTGTAAGAACATGGACAAATTAATTACAAGCTTTCTTACAAAAAAAGAAAATGATAAACCCAGAGGAATCTAAACAGAAAGCAAGTCTGAGCGTGAGAGGAATCATGTTGGATCCAGCAGCACCAGTCTAAAACTGAGAAACCCGTGAGCACTTTCTCTGTGACCAGCAGAGGTCTGGATGGGGAACAGAACAGTGGGTGAGGAACAACAAAACAACAACATACAGAAGGTAAACGGAAACAAACTGGATAAAATAAACGGAAATACTCAACATATGTAACATTTAAATATTTTACTAACGTTAAAGATGTTTATTGGGGTGTATATAGGCCTATTAGCTCTAACAATTCGAAAAACTGCTCTGGAATATTTTTAAAATTAGATTGTTTTTGAAAATGCTCTGTTGTGTACTTACACCACTATGCCATTTAGTAGATGAAATAACATGTTCACACTGAAAATCTTCCCAGAACCCAAAAACAATACAATTGAGGAGGAGTAAAATCTTTGGTGGCAGGTCGAGTGGCAGCTGCATCTGCCACGCAAAGATTTGACCCTTATTGCAATAATCGCACAGCCACATACCGGCAAGCTTTCTCGCACAGAACTAGTAGTTGTGCTGCCTGTAAGCAAGAAAGAGATGTTCATATTTGAATAATAGCAATAATTCCACCAAATTCAGTGTGAACAACAATGGATGTCACACAGCCACGTCCCGTGACCTGAAGTAGAGTAGCCTAATTATTCTTTTAATAAAGTGTTTTCATTGACATATTGCAAGATGTTTTTAACGCAGTATAAAAATGCAGTATCCATTTTTATATTTCATGTATAGTTTGCTGAACAGAAGTCCAGCTACCCTTTTTAATAGTTTAATAGTAAAATTTTTGTACTGTGGATTTTTCTCATCCAATAGTTTGAGAAGGCACTGCCTCCCTCCTTTACTCGTACAGAACATCCTTGGGGGTTAGTAATGTTTCAGCATTGTGTATGTTGGTAACATTTGTACTAGGGGGAAAAAAAAAAACCTGTGTAGTTACAAAAAAAACCAGTGTAGTTACAAATATGGTTGCATTAACTTCAGAGTTGGAAAATTCTGATAAACCACATACATGCATTATTTTTTATCCCATGAGGCAAGAATCTCCTTACTATATTGGAATTAATAGAAAATGTGTAGGTCCAACAAGTTAGTGAAGACATAACGCATCATATTTTGAATTAAGACGTTTAATTTGATTGAAAGACAAAACATCAAAGAACAACCCACAAAGTAGAACAGATGCCTTTTTCATTTCCTTAAAAATAAGACAAAATATGATGAGAGGACAGTCCTTCTCTCTGAGATAGCGAAAGAAGGAAACCAAAAGGCAAAGTGGAGGTGAAAAGGGTGAAGGTGTCGGAATCATCCCTCACACAATCCACTTTCAAACGCTCTGATTTGAATTTTCCCACTTCAAATCAACATTTACACAATGTATACAACAGCCCACAGAAAGAGGAAGGAAGGGAGGATATATAAGCAAGGGATAAAATTACATTTGTACAAAAATAGATTTTTTCCTATAGGTTTCTCAACGTTTTTAAAAGGTCCCGTCTCTGAGACGACTGAAGCGGTGACTGTGTCAGGGTCAAAGTTTATCCTCGCTAGTTTAAAAGGGCGAAAAAGTGGCTAAGCAACAGGTTCCTTTAGATTTTTTCACTAACAAGACATTTGTTTGAGGTTTTGTGAACATAAAATGATTCATAAGTCAAGGAGCTGGTATATGATCTTATCTTAGGGCTCTGAACTGCTGGTATTAGTCTAAAATTTGACTTTTTTTGTGTGTGTAATTCAAGGCTGAACACAAAAGCTTCAGCAATTAAAAACATTTCTAGTATCTGAGAATACAACAGTGCAATTAGGCCTGGTTTTAATCAATTTAAGAAAAACGCTTGGCTCCCTTAATAATTGTTCGGAAACATTTTAAAGACTGGATTTATATACTTTCATATTTAGAAATATACACACATTTACATATAGACAAAATATAGCTTTATGTTATAAAGCATTTGCGTATGCATTAATTCTACCTAGGTTATAATTTCTGAATTACTCCATTTCCAACAGGAGAACGTTTTTGATCTCAAACCTGAATATAGCTTCAAGATACCGGTGATCCAAAATATTCATTCATTAAAAAGTCTAGTGAAGCCATTGAAATTCATTTGCCACCAAAGGAAATGAGGGTAAGAGGACGAAAAGCTGATTTTTAGAAATGTAATCATAGAGACGAATCCTAATAAACAGCATCGACTGAAGTTGTTTGGGCTTCACTCTGGATAAACCATCTCGAGTGATCGAAATCAAGCTATTGCTGAAGACCCTTGTGAGACTGCACTCAAACAAAAACAAACACTGATAATATCACGTAAAAGTGCCATTTTTTATCCAATTAAATACTTGTACAAAATTCAAGTAATGTTGCAGCGCTGCATCTCCACCACTAGGTGGAAGTCTCAGCTCTCCCATTGCCTCAGTATTATTCCCTACCAGTACTGCTCCACTCCTAATGGCTCTCTATAAACTGCTGGAGACCCGGATCTTGGTCCTGGCGGTGTAACCTTGTTCACATGTGGTCTTTCGTTGCCAGAGTTTGAAAATCAACCTCACTATGGACAGTCTTTGGGGAGAAAAAAACTAAAAATGCTAAATGCATAGTTTAGCAGCAGCAGCATACACAAATAAAGAAAATGCTGAAGAATGCAAATTACAGACCCAGGAAACAGATGATACCCCATAAAAAAAGGCAGCTCCAAAAACACAACAATGGGACATGAAACATGAGGTTAAGTGCTTAGAAACATCCTAATGATAACACACATTTGCAAGACCTGAATGCATGAGGCGGCTCGTGTGAACGGCTGACGCAGGAGTGGACGGGGGACACAAAAGACTCGATATACCATAGTAAAAGTGACTGAAAGAGAGGTAACGGCACACATTTTGAAAAAGCATCCAAAAAAAATACAGGATACCAATACTGAATTGGCTGTAATAAACTGTACAAGTGTTGAGGTGAATTGGTATACAGACGAGACACAGTGGGACATGTGAGCGGCTTACAGGTGGCAGGATGTCCACTATAAGCGTCCTTGGTTTACATCGTTCAGCATCATGGGCTCTGTGAGAACAGGCAGATTGGAGTTTTAAAAGCTCATGTTTCGAGTGCATAATGAACAAGTGTGAATGATCATAATCCAAAACTCAGGGTGGCTCATTAGATGCTGGGATCTGCTCCCAGCGACCTCAGGAGTCCCTTCCTGTCTGATCCTGAAGTTACGTCATTATTGCCTCTCCCACACACCACTGATGATGCTCGGGGTGAACTGTAATTCCTCACTTGGTTCAGAGCAAACTCACTTCTTAAATGACGGTAATTACAAGAACATTCTATCAGGAACTGCCCGCTTGAGAGAAAAACGGCAATTTGAGCAGGATTGTAATCGCAAAAACTCCCACCAGGGGCTGAAAACACTATGTTTGTGTTAGAAACCCCGATTATTACCCGCATTACCATCATCTCCCATAAGTCTTTATGTGCCCAGACACGCCAGCCCAGGATGGCCCTATCCAATCCTGAATGAGGCTGATTACAGCCCTGGATCCCTCCCATAAGACCCATTGTATTCCAACGTACACGACCCTGCACAAGACATTCCTGCAATTACTGCACCTCCACTAAATCTATCGTTTTTTTTTCATATGCACCCATTGAAGGATAGATTGATACACCCATGTCCACTGTTGTCTGTGGGCTTGAAGCCCATTGTCATCTTTTTTCTTATGTGTTGTATATATATTTATATCTTTATACAAAGTA